AGTTAAACTTTTCAGGAAATTCATTTCTGGCCTCTAGGCACCTCTTGTAAACTTTTGAGCAATTTTTGTGGAGTTGGATTTTTGGGTCAAAAACTGACTTTTTCGATGATGCCGGCTATGGAAAACGTTGAAGTTTTGGGGGCATTTTGTAAAAAAGCCAAAAAGATTGTTTTCTCACTGGATACTGAATGTAATGAGTTAAACTTTTCAGGAAATTCAATTCTGGCCTCCAGGCACCTCTTGTAAACTTTTGAGCAATTTTTGTCGAGTTGGATTTTTGGGTCAAAAACTGACTTTTTCGATAATGCCGGCTATGGAAAACGTTGAAGTTTTGGGGCATTTTGTAAAAAGCCAAAAGATTGTTTTCTCACTGGATACTGAATGTAATGAGTTAAACTTTTCAGGAAATTCAATTCTGGCCTCTAGGCAACTCTTGTTAACTTTTGAGCAATTTTTGTCGAGTTGGATTTTTGGGTCAAAAACTGACTTTTTCGATGATGCCGGCTATGGAAAACGTTGAAGTTTTGGGGGCATTTGGTAAAAAAGCGAAAAAGTTTTGTTTTCTCACTGGATACTGAATGTAATGAGTTGAACTCTTCAGGGAATTCAATTCTGGCCTCTAGGCACTCCTTGTAAACCTTTGAGCAATTTTTGTGGAGTTGGATTTTTGGGTCAGAAACTGACTTTTTCGATGATGCCGGCTATGGAAAACGTTGAAGTTTTGGGGGCATTTTGTAAAAAGCCAAAAAGAATGTTTTCTCACTGGATACTGAATGTAATGAGTTAAACTTTTCAGGAAATTCATTTCTGGCCTCTAGGCACCTCTTGTAAACTTTTGAGCAATTTTTGTCGAGTTGGATTTTTGGGTCAAAAACTGACTTTTTCGATGATGCCGGCTATGGAAAACGTTGAAGTTTTGGGGCATTTGGTAAAAAAGCGAAAAAGTTTTCTTTTCTCACTGGATACTGAATGTAATGAGTTAAACTCTTCAGGGAATTCAATTCTGGCCTCTAGGCACCTCTTGTAAACTTTTGAGCAATTTTTGTCGAGTTGGATTTTTGGGTCAAAAACTGACTTTTTTGATGATGCCGGCTATGGAAAAAGTTGAAGTTTTGGGGGCATTTTGTAAAAAGCCAAAAAGAATGTTTTCTCACTGGATACTGAATGTAATGAGTTAAACTTTTCAGGAAATTCATTTCTGGCCTCTAGGCACCTCTTGTAAACTTTTGAGCAATTTTTGTGGAGTTGGATTTTTGGGTCAAAAACTGACTTTTTCGATGATGCCGGCTATGGAAAACGTTGAAGTTTTGGGGGCATTTTGTAAAAAAGCCAAAAAGATTGTTTTCTCACTGGATACTGAATGTAATGAGTTAAACTTTTCAGGAAATTCAATTCTGGCCTCCAGGCACTCCTTGTAAACTTTTGAGCAATTTTTGTGGAGTTGGATTTTTGGGTCAAAAACTGACTTTTTCGATAATGCCGGCTATGGAAAACGTTGAAGTTTTGGGGGCATTTTGTAAAAAGCCAAAAGATTGTTTTCTCACTGGATACTGAATGTAATGAGTTAAACTTTTCAGGAAATTCAATTCTGGCCTCTAGGCAACTCTTTTTAACTTTTGAGCAAATTTGGTCGAGTTGGATTTTTGGGTCAAAATCTGACTTTTTCGATGATGCCGGCTATGGAAAACGTTGAAGTTTTGGGGCATTTGGTAAAAAAGCGAAAAAGTTTTGTTTTCTCACTGGATACTGAATGTAATGAGTTGAACTCTTCAGGGAATTCAATTCTGGCCTCTAGGCACTCCTTGTAAACTTTTGAGCAATTTTTGTGGAGTTGGATTTTTGGGTCAGAAACTGACTTTTTCGATGATGCCGGCTATGGAAAACGTTGAAGTTTTGGGGGCATTTTGTAAAAAGCCAAAAAGATGTTTTCTCACTGGATACTGAATGTAATGAGTTAAACTTCAGGAAATTCATTTCTGGCCTCTAGGCACCTCTTGTAAACTTTTGAGCAATTTTTGTCAAGTTGGATTTTTGGGTCAAAAACTGACTTTTTCGATGATGCCGGCTATGGAAAACGTTGAAGTTTTGGGGCATTTGGTAAAAAAGCGAAAAAGTTTTGTTTTCTCACTGGATACTGAATGTAATGAGTTGAACTCTTCAGGAATTCAATTCTGGCCTCTAGGCACCTCTTGTAAACTTTTGAGCAATTTTTGTGGAGTTGGATTTTTGGGTCAAAAACTGACTTTTTCGATGATGCCGGCTATGGAAAACGTTGAAGTTTTGGGGGCATTTTGTAAAAAGCCAAAAAGAATGTTTTCTCACTGGATACTGAATGTAATGGGTTAAACTTTTCAGGAAATTCATTTCTGGCCTCTAGGCACCTCTTGTAAACTTTTGAGCAATTTTTGTCGAGTTGGATTTTTGGGTCAAAACTGACTTTTTCGATGATGCCGGCTATGGAAAACGTTGAAGTTTTGGGGCATTTGGTAAAAAAGCGAAAAAGTTTTGTTTACTCACTGGATACTGAATGTAATGAGTTGAACTCTTCAGGGAATTCAATTCTGGCCTCTAGGCACCTCTTGTAAACTTTTGAGCAATTTTTGTGGAGTTGGATTTTTGGGTCAAAAACTGACTTTTTTTTATGATGCCGGCTATGGAAAACGTTGAAGTTTTGGGGGCATTTTGTAAAAAGCCAAAAAGATTGTTTTCTCACTGCATACTGAATGTAATGAGTTAATCTCTTCAGGGAATTCAATTCTGCCTCTAGGCACCTCTGGTAAAACTTTTGAGCAATTTTTGTCGAGTTGGATTTTTTGGTCAAAAACTGACTTTTTCGATGATGCCGGCTATGGAAGACGTTGAAGTTTTGGGGGCATTTTGTAAAAGCCAAAAAGATTGTTTTCTCTCTCACTGGATACTGAATATAATGAGTTAAACTTTTCAGGAAATTCAATTCTGGCCTCTAGGCACCTCTTGTAAACTTTTGAGCAATTTTTGTGGAGTTGGATTTTTGGGTCAAAAACTGACTTTTTCGATGATGCCGGCTATGGAAGACGTGGAAGTTTTGGGGGCATTTTGTAAAAAAGCGAAAAAAATTTTGTTTTCTCTACTGGATACTGATGTAATGAGTGAGCTCTTCAGGGAATTCAATTCTGGCCTCTAGGCACCTCTTGTAAACTTTTGAGCAATTTTTATCGAGTTGGATTTTTGGGTCAAAAACTGACTTTTTCGATGATGCCGGCTATGGAAAACGTTGAAGTTTTGGGGCATTTGGTAAAAAAGCGAAAAAGTTTTGTTTTCTCACTGGATACTGAATGTAATGAGTTGAACTCTTCAGGAATTCAATTCTGGCCTCTAGGCACCTCTTGTAAACTTTTGAGCATTTTTTGTGGAGTTGGATTTTTGGGTCAAAAACTGACTTTTTTGATGATGCCGGCTATGGAAAAAGTTGAAGTTTTGGGGGCATTTTGTAAAAACCCAAAAAGATTGTTTTCTCACTGGATACTGAATGTAATGAGTTAAACTTTTCAGGAAATTCATTCTGTCCTCTAGGCACCTCTTGTAACTTTTGAGCAATTTTTGTGGAGTTGGATTTTTGGGTCAAAAACTGACTTTTTCGATGATGCCGGCTATGGAAAACGTTGAAGTTTTGGGGCATTTGGTAAAAAAGCAAAAAGTTTTTGTTTTCTCACTGGATACTGAATGTAATGAGTTGAACTCTTCAGAAAATTCAATTCTGGCCTCCAGGCACCTCTTGTAAACTTTTGAGCAATTTTTGTGGAGTTGGATTTTTGGGTCAAAAA